CCGGCTCCGCAACCCCGCTCCCGCGCTGCGGCAACCCCGCGCTGCGGCAACCCCGCTCCCGCATAGGGAGGTCCGCGCCCCCGGGACCCCGCTCCCGCATAGGGAGGTCCCGGGTGCCGACCCCCGGAACCTCGGAACCCCAGCGGGGTCCCGGGGCCGGGGTTCGACAACCCTGGCTGGGATCCATACTTATTAAACTTCATAAACGAATAACAATAGGCACGCCCATCAGGGAACCCTGTGCGGAAGTGTGCTGGGATCCTTACTTGTTAAACTTCAAGTTCATAATTGTGATGAACAAGGTGTCATGATTGCATCCTCGTTGGATAATTATATAATTTGTTTGATTATCCCTAAGTTGTACAGGCATGTCCAACCTCTCGCCTAAGGCGGTTGACTGGATGTTCGACGAGATCCGGAGTAAGTGGCTGTCTTCTTTAGAAGACGTAAAGTAGCGATAGGCACGCCCATCCGGGAAGCCTGTGCGATAGTGTGTCGGGATCCATACTTGTCAAACTTCAAGTTTGTAAATATGATGAGCAAGGTGTCATGATTGAATCCTTGTTGGATAATACATTTGTTTCGGTTATGCGTGAGTTGTACATGCATGACAATCATCTCGCCCAAGACGGTTGTTTGGATGTTGATGAGATTCGGACTTCTTTAGATTACTTAGTGTCCGTAAAATACGCCCACCATTTCGCCGAATGTGCAGAAATGTGATGAGATTCACACTTGTTTACAATTGTGATGAGCAAGGTGTCATGATTGCATCCTTGTTCGACATGTATGCTTTGAACAATGTGACATTGAAAACTTCAAGTAATGTAACAGTCGCAATAGCTGTCGAAGTAGAAACAATTAATTTTGACATACAATTTCATTTTTCTGGTCACGAACGCAAAGTTGCCGGTTACATGCAATTCAGGCGATCACAAGTATATGATTCCCTCCGCACACAAGAGATGTGATGTCAGTGGTCTTTGACTCTTTGCATAACAAACCTCACACTCACACACTCGCCGAGATTTGTCTTGCATCCACACTCCAATTCGTCATGTCGCACAACACACACCAATATCATTTCAAGGTGAATTATATGTACAACTTTGGATGACCTGGACACAATTTGAAACGAGGAATGCAATGCAACGAATTTAATGACACGACAGACGAGCGGGACCTTACAGACTGGCAGTGCGCATACCAAAGACAACTCAAACTCGCAACAATAAAATAAAGTAATGTCATTGTGAAAGCGACATTTAAAATATGAAATATTCTGAAAAGAAAGTTTACAAATCAATCGAATCCATCAAAGACAACGACATTCCAAGATACATGATGCCAATTGTCGTCTAATATGCGGAATATTTTTACAAGAGAACCTGAAAGGCGGTCGATCGCCACGTTGCAACAGTGTCGCAAACATCAACATAAACACCCCGCAACTAACTCCATCCACTTGTCTTGGAACTCCCTCTATAACAACATTTGTTGCTACCGACTTCCAACTCCTACACGACCGCCTATGTAATGTTTGACATTCCAAATACTGTACAATCAACTCGAAAACACTAAGGTAAAAACTAGAATCGGTTATAACGCGAGGAAAAAAATCAAAAATCTCAAGAACATTATCTCTCAAGTTCACGGAAAGGAGGATCCAGTGATCATTATCTTTGTGGTCTGGAACAAAGATAATATCATATTAAGGTAGATCCACGTTTTTAGCCCATCTTTCCACCCCGCCGTGTCCTTGAAGTTACAGTTTACTGAAGAAGAAATAATTAAAGCTGAAGACTCGAAGGCCTGACGGGATGTCACGTATTCTATATGCGGTCGTCCCGAATAGCGCCATGTAAAAATTGACCACCTCATCATTCACCCTGCCGTTGGTAAGCAAGAGGGTGAGAATATCTTTTGCTGCAATTCGCAACTGACCATCACCGAGGGTCGAAATAACAGTTTTAGGTGGCACCAAGCCTCGTTTAATGTCGTCCAAAACCCGCAAGCTTCCAAGCGCAGTCACTGCAGTGAATCCTCCCCAGCCTGTTCCAGGTGTCGTGGTCCGCACTGCACAACATCGAGCAAAGGACACGGGGGGGAGTGAGAAACAAAATTATAAGGATTCTCCTTCATCGCACGACGAGTAGCTAAGTATTTCTTATTCATGACTTGGCCCCTAGTCACAGATCGTGGATATGTCCCTTTCTCTAGGGGCAGAAGGGAAAGACACTCCTCAATGGCAATGGCCTTCTTCCCGATTTCGACATCAACCCTGACGCCTTTAACATGTCCTTGTGTTTTGTCATCCCGGGACTGTCTGCAATATGTGTTCCGGATATTTCGAGGGCCTCCGTGTTCGAGATGACCCTACCCCTGTACAATAGAAGAAAGACAAAACGGAAAATGAATACACGTTTTCGAAGACGAACCTGACGAAAGGACAATTAAAGAACCACGAAATCTAAAAGACGGAGGACCTATGCAATTACAAAACCCCGTTTTGTCATGAGAGTGCGAGAGAGAGAACTTCCGCGTGAGCCCCGCTGGAAAACAAAACGACTAGTGCATTCGAGCTCGACACCCCCGCCCTTCAGAAGAGAAAACCACAACAAGCCACAAAAGCGAAAGCCAAACATCTTCGAAGTCCGGATCCCGGCGGACTTTTTCCAATGCAGGGAGATGACCCTACCCCTGTACAACCGAAGGAAGACAAAACGGAAAATGAATATACGTATTCCGAGATGAACCCGATGAAAATGACAATTTAAGAACCACGAAATGTAAAAGACGCAGGACCTATCTAATTACAGAACCCCGTTTAGTCATGAGAGAGAGAGAGAATACTTCCGCGCGAGCCCCGCTGGAAAACAAAAGGAGTAGTGCGTTCGAGCTCGACACCCCGCCCTTCAAAAGGGAAAACCACAGCAAGCCACAGACGCGGAGGCCAAACATTTCCGAAGTGAGGATCCCGACGGACTTTTTCCAATCGAGGTACACAAAGAGTAACCGCATTACACATCGACATTGGAAGTGCAGATCCCGGCGGACTAAAACCACCACTCATTCCGAAAAAGAAACACCATCATTCCATTTTGTGAGGGAACGCTTAACAAAACCACACATATTTTTGTCATCGTATGCCCTGCATACGATCAGTGACCTGGCCGACTCACAGGAAGGTCGTTCACATGTACTTGGAAGTTGGAAGGAGTGGTGGCTGTAGTATGCCGACATCAGGAACTCCCCGCATCGGCAGACAATGCGCTCACTCCCTGTGTTTATGGTACTGAACATAGGCCGCCGATATCCGGACTACGAAGGAAGTCGCACTCTTGCTCTTGGGAGGCCGGACGTGCAGACAAAGTGGCGTTTGTCACAGCTTACCAGCCGGTTTGTCACTCTGCTCCTTCATCGGTGAAATTGGCGCGGGCAAGGCCAGCACGTCGAGAGCTTGAGTGTCGACCCTAGTTTGTTTTGGGGACGTGACATGTTGTCGTCCCCCGATCCCGCCTTCCCCTCCGCTGGCGATGGTCGGCGGCAGTATTGCAGAGTTCGGCGGCGAGAAAGCCACGACAGATGCCGCGGAAGGTTTAACGTTGCGAGGGTCGTCGACATCAGGCATCGAGGACGGCTGCGCGGACATGTGGTGGCCGCCCAGGATGCCATCGATAACTTCTTCGACGTCTATATGGACATTTGGTTTAGACAGGCTGACAGCAACACGAGCCTCATTGAACCGGTGTTGGAGATCGACGACAGACGTCATTGCTTGGACCTCATAATCATCACGTTCTGCCGAAAGGTTGGTGACCACATGTGTCTCCATCTCCATTGCCGTGTCATCGTCGTCGTCGTCTTCCTCGCGATGTTCTCCGTACAGCAGCCCGAATCTGTCAGACGACTCCCCAGATCTGGCATCGTCGTCACTGAACGTCCATTCGTCGTCTCCAGTATCGACGTCCCCTTTTTCCCCCTCCTTCCCTCCAAACAACTCACCCAATTCTGTTTCTCCCCCTTCCTCTCCTTCCTCCCCTTCCTCCTCTTCTTTCTTCCCTTCATCCCCTCCTTCCTCCCATTCCTCCCCTTTGTCTCCTTCCTCCCCTTCCTTCTCTTCATCCATTACCCTGCCTCCTTCCCTTGCATGCAATCTAGCCACTTCGCCCGAACCTGTGTCGAATTCCGATGAATGCCCTTCTGGCTCCACGCACGCAGCCCCTCCCGCCGACACCACAATCCCTGGTCGGCCCCCCTTGCCTGAAGAAGTTCGGATCCCGACGAACTTCGCTGTCTCCCTGTCGCCGGGCCCTCCACAGGTACCCTCTCGCTCCGACCGAAGCGGTCGTCGATCCCCCGCAGGCGGCGCATTCCCGTCCCTCACCGCACCGCTGTCAATTTTTGGATCATGACTCGGCACCCCTGCTCCCGACCAGCTCTGCGCGGCCGTCCTCTGTGTCCGCTCCTCAAGCATTGAAGTTCGGATCCCGACGGACTTAAACGTTTCGTCCGAGCCGGCGCGGAGAGCAACCAAGGCTGCCATCACCGAGCCGGCGGATGAAGTGGGCACGCCGGCGAACTGTGTCGAGCCCTCCGGAATGGGACCAGTAGACTGCTGATGACCGAAGGCCTCCCCCGCCACCCCACCACTGCCTTCCGTTGTCGTGGTGTCGCTGTGAGACCTGCCCTCCGAACCAGGCAGGATTCCTTTGCCACCCCCAGCCTTGTCGCCCTCGTCCTCCCCACCGTCTGGTCCCCGGGCCTTTGAACTCACATGCGTCCCACTGGGAGGGGGGATTATCCAGTCCACCCTTCCCTTCGAGGGGTTCGTATCGAGGTCGTAGTAGTCCTCCGTCAGTTCCAACTAACACTTGTCCTGAAGTTCGTTGAACAATCACTCGGCTGTGGAAATGACAGACACGTCGTCGGGTGCAAACGAGTCATTCTCGGCCCTCACTTTTTGAAGGACCGCAATTCTAGCGACGTCGAGGAAGTTAGACTTCGACCCCCGAGGAAGGGGCATCCATCCTCCGCCCGAGACAGCGACGGCCACGATCCACTCGCCCTTTTGGATCGCCGGCTGGATGACTCCTGGATGCCAAATCATGTCATGGCCCCAGTCCACCTAAGGGGAATGACTTTACGGATCAGGCAGGAAGTGAATGTTGCCATCCTTCCAAGACAGATGATCGGGGGGGATGTCAGACGCGGGACGCAACGCGCGATGGCCAGAGGCCCGAGCTTGCAGTCTCTCCAGCAACTTCATCGGGGTAGTGCCAAGCACCGGTTTCGCCATCGGTGACACGAGGGATGCCAGGCTTGTTGACAGACCTGCCAACGACAACCCTGTAGCGTGCTGCGCGGGATGTGGGTAGTACTGCAAGTCGAGGCTTTCGGTGTCGCTGTCCTCCTCGTTCGCGTTCACGTCGAATTCGATGTCGATGGTCTCCTCGTCTTCCGTGGAGATCAAGGAAGAGTAACTGCCGAACGTCAACTCCTCCTCTGACTCCACGAAGTACAGGGACTGCAACCTATTGAGGAAGGTCTTCGCGTTCATGCGGGAGGCGCCATGGTAATTGTCGAACAACGTGAACATGTGGTCCTTGCGGCGCACGTACTCGGCGTCAGTGTCCTTCTTCGGCCGCGTTTGCAGGAACAAGAAGTCGTATATCTTGTTCCGCTTCCTCTCACTCAACTTGAACCACATGTCCGTCTTGTTGTTCCACGCGCGAGCCCGTGTCTCGTTGACGACCATGAACTCGCAATTGTGGGCACCCGAATTGACCTCGCTTTTGACGAGATCAATTGCAAATTGCAATAGGTCGGAGTTCCCTTCCATCACGATGACGTGTCGTCACACGGATCGCGCGTGTGGCTTCCCAAGGAAGACGACACCCTCCCCCTTCTTGCTGACGGATTCAAGAAGATTGACGAACTGCGCGGGGTTGCGTTCCATGTCCCCGTACACACTGCCCCGACGTGCAAGCGAGGTATGTGACCAGTCGCAAGGCGTGAACAAAATGTCGGACACATTCGTTTGCGTAACCTTTTGTGGCAGTCGCACTGCAGCAGCGGCGCTTGCCGGCAGTTTCCCCTCGTAGACGATGGACGTGTTAGCGCGCAAATTGTCACCCTTGAAGAGAATGTACATCCGGTCGTCTTCCGTGTACAAATTGTTCCGACGAGGAAACTTTTCTTCTGCTGACTCCTCCTCACCCACTTCCCTTCCAGCAGCTTCACGAAAGAAAGATGGTTCATGCTGGCCAGAAACGAGAGGTTCTGCTGGCGCGGCACGAAAACGACCAGCGTCCAATGCGACGGACATCACGTCTGCAGTTGGGAATCCAGAGTGTCGAACGCTTGCGGTTTCCATAGCTTCAGGTTCACTGGTTTGCAGAGATCGAGGACGAACGTGTGGCTCTTTGTGGCAGCCACTGCTTCCTTCACCTCCGCACTCCTAATGTCCGCCTCCAAGGGGTCGTTGCCGAACGACGCGATGGATGTCACGTCGCCCGTGTCTTTCCATTTTATTTGCACAATGCCTTCGGCAAGCGCGATCTCGTGACTCTTTAGTCTACTGCCAGTCAACACGGACAGGACCTTATTCCTCTAGTCCACGAACAGCTTCTTGTGACCGGCCAACTTCTCCGTCGCCTCGATCGATTGGTCGTCGTTGCAACCCATCTAAGGCGGGCAGTCCTTGAACAACGAGGAGTCAGTGACATATTTCCTGTTGCCGTCCCACAACTCAGCATCCAATCCACAACTCTCGAACTGCTTGAAAATCGCGGACCTTGTTTTCAGGAACGGGTACTTCTCGCAAACCACCTCGCAAGCGAGCACCTTCTTCAGGACGCAGCACTTCTTGTTGTCGGTCAGCGACTCCATCGCTTTCCAACAATGTGTGTCCGGCTCAGGCACTTGCACGAACCAGTAGCCCTCCTCTTTCTCCTTTTTGTCTTTCTTCGTTGTCGGGTCCACAGGGACGTTGTACACGACCTCCTTCCTGCCCAGCTTTTCGTTGTCGATGTAGGCAACCCCGGGCTTCACGTTTTCTACTTTCTTCTTCCGCATGATCCACTTTGCGCCGTCGTGGCCTACCTGTCTCCCATTTCTCGAAAAACTCGACGGCCAGTTTCCAGACGTTCTCTCCTGCCATCGCCAGTGGGAAATAGGAACGCAGGGCAGCGCTTTGCTTCTTGACGGTGTCCTCGCCCTTCTGATCTGCCACAATGAGGCGTCATATTGAGCGCGATCGTATAAAATTCATGCCATTTCCGGACCTGATCCTGTTTTCCGCTGGGGTACCCCATAACAGCTCTCGGGCAACCGTCGCACTTCCACTGCCACCGAATGTCTTTCATTGACAGCTTCAGCTGTCTCGGGGGCGCCTTCAAATCCTTCTTGTGAGAGCAGGTTAACCGAGCACCCATTTTTCAGGCCCATTTATAAGAAAACCAGACAGTCATTTTAACAACACTTCACACCAATCTATAGAGTGCACTTCTTACGACCCCATCACAGAAAAAAAACCCTAAAAAAAGCAATTAAAAACATATAAAACAGCAAGCCAAAGGTGCATTTCCATGAAATCTGACCAAAAAAAAACTCGACCAATTTCAGAAATTTCAGAAATCTTAACAGCACAAATTTTAAAACCCCAAATAACCCCAAATTTCATATACGACAACCCTATCAAAATGCATATATAGCAAAAACTTGAAATTCCAAAAAAACATGAAATTTGAGCCCAAAACACTAATTTCGGAAATTTGAGGCCTGAAAACCAGATGCCCCGTTAACCTCTTATGGCTCGAAATTGTATTTCCTGGCCACCTCGCTGCCGAGCAGCGACCTCGCTGCAGCCGCGTTGTGTTGCCCACACACCGCGTAGTAGTAGTATTGTCCCGCCAGCTCATCCCTCCAATCCTCCGGCCTCAGACGTTGTGCCTTGGTCCCGGAAGTCGGTTTATCAAGCCCCTGTGGTGCCAGCTTCAGGGTTGGTAACTCGTACGACTGCTCTTTGTTTTCGAACGCCAACTGCATCACTTCTTTGATCACTTCCACGAGCACGGGATCTAGGGACCGCTGGTTGTATAGGTCCTCCCACTCCCCGAGGTCGACGACTTGTGCAGAGCTAATCTCGAACTCCCGCTTTGTCCGAACGCCGTCTTTGTACTCGAGGAAGTACCCGGCGTCGACGTCGTTGGGAGACCGTGGTGTCTGTGGAGTGGATGGTCCTGATGCAGCCTGTTTATGTTTCGAAGCCGGACGTTTGGCACCCTGTCGGCCCTGCTCTCCCTCAATCCCCTTGCGTTTCTCCCCCGCAGTCCTCGGGGCCTTGCTCTTCAATTTCTTCGAAGAACCGGCCAACTCGTCTGTACGATCTCCCCTCCTCTTCTGTGGAGTGCCTTGTGCGCCCAGGTCGCCCGCGGTTCCCTCCTCCGCACCCTGGCCCTCGCTCGTCTCCAAGTCGACCTCCGAAGAGGCTGCCACCTTTCTTGCAGCTGCCGCACTCTCCTCTCGAACCGGAGCGTCAGTCAGGACCCCAGGAATAGACAACACAAACTGCTGCGTGTCCCTCAACGACGGAGTAGGCCCCTTATCCTTGCTGTCGTCGAACTGACCTCGGCTCTCGCCACGGTGTCGGCCCGAATACACTTACAAGGGTATTTGGGCACATGTTTGCAACTTACAGGAAGAACGCGCCTGACGATATTTAGGGGCGCATCTCATTTATGTTGATTAGAGAGTGCGTGAGCGTGCACTTTGCGGGCACGTGTTAGCCAGGCTAAGCGACTGATCAAGGAAGACTATGAGACGCCGGTAGGACAAGTAAGTACCAGGCTAGAATTTCTGGGGCGGTCGCGGCCTCGCACGCACAGGCAAAGTTACGGGCAGCGTCACGTTGACCAGGAAAGGCTGTGGCTAGAGGAGGAGGTTGTCTGACCCGTTAGGGGCCGACGTCTCGGGGTCGCACCGTGTGAGATTTCACAGGCACCAGGCGGACCATGCGTCGTCGGTAATAGGAGCCGTCGCTGGAACTAAGTACGGTTGGCACGAATTAGAACAAAAGTCGGGGTTTGCTGGCAAAGAGGCGGTAAGAGAGCGGTCGCGGTAGGCCGTAAGAGCCTTGGGCCGCGGCCGCAGTATGGTGAGGCGGCGCGCATGGGAAGCCTACCCTCGAGGCAGCGGAGTACGGCGTTATGAGGCCTCGGATGCTGGGAGATAAGCTAAGCGTTGGCCTTGGCACACCCTTGCGGGCCTAGGCGGGCTGCAGTTACTCGTCATATAGAGAACTGGGCCTGCTGGATCCAGGCTTGGGCTTAGCCCTATAGGTTACGTCACTGAGTTGTCACCAGGCAGATCCCGAGGCCGAGTCCAGCAGCGTGCAGTGGAGCGGTGGATGAGCGCTATGGAGTGAACCGAGGGATTGAGGGTCCCGCGGGACTATCCCCCTTGGTTTTGTTGGGAAGTTCAGCAGCGGGCCCGCGAGGTAGGACCAAGTGCCAACGGTCCCCTCCCCCATCCGTTTTCCTAGCTATTATTTCTAAATTTTATTTATTTTATTTTATTTTATTTTATTTTATTTTATTTTTCCCTCTCGTTCCCGAAGAGTTCTTGCGCACGGTCTGTGAGTGGCACCGTGTGACCAGCAAAGTACCGATCCGCCATTGCTGCAGACAGGCAAGGCCTTGTCCCCTCTGAGAAGGTACGATAGTGTGGTCTAAACCATGCCTGAAAACCTCAAGTTCGGCCTATTCCAAATCTGCGTTTTTCGTAGGTCCAAAATCGCAGTGTAAGCGTTCCCGGTGGGACTAACAAGATGTGAACTGTGTCCGGACGGAGCGGCACAGGGCGCGGTAGGGAGGTCCGCAGCGGTGCAGACAACACAAATGTGTGCATGAAACCCTTCTCCACTTCGGCCTTCAAATCTTTGATTTGAACAATCTGTTATCACCAAGGTCTGCAGCGGGACCTGTTTTACCTGGGCTCATGCCGCGTGCTGCACAGCAGGCCCTGCATTCTCTTACTAGTGGCAGATTCAGAATAGCCGTGATGGCTGAACATAGGTTGCGCACTTCAATACCATCCGTCTGTGGGGGTATGCCGCGTGAGTCAAGGTCATGTACAGCTATTTGAAGATCCGAAGACTTGGTAATTTCCCGAGTTGTAGCCTTGAGAGGCAACCTCTGCAGTAGGCTGGTACCAGTCCCCAGTGCAGCAGACGACACAAACAGGTCTAACTCAGTTGGTACACCCACGAACTGTTGAAAAACGGGCCCCTGTTCGAACTCCACTGGATGCAGATCAGCAGGACACTACCAACCGCTCCGATGTTGCCAGTTGGGTATGCCGCGGGGCTCAGCCCCGCTTGTATCCCTTGGGACATCCCTTAAAATTGGAATTAGTATGGCCCCTGCATTGGTTCCGGGCCTGGCTATACTACCCGAGAGCTAAGCTCAATGGGCACACTCATGAACACCTTGAACTGTTGAACTGCGGACTCCGCTGAAAATAAATGAGTAAAAGGCTGCGACAGTGAAGTACCTGGGGCCAGCCACTTTCTGTGGGAATATCCCATTGCTGGGCCCACGGGTTAGTCCTTCGGGACATCTGTTAAAATTGGAACGATGCATAGAAGGTTAGCATTGCCCCTGCACAAGGATGACACGCAGATCTAGGGCTATACCCAACTATGTTGGCTGTTTCCCTGGTTTGGGCCTTGTGGGACTTGATCCCATGACCTGTAATTTGTATTTTCTTGGGTTGGTAGGCCTGATCTTCAGACCGTAGCCAAATAGCCTCCACTTGACAGCCCTGGGCCTTCAGCCTAGCTGTTTTGTCCCTTCCTGCTCTTCTGAGAGATGGGTAGGCCCGTAGGTCTATTTTTCTTTTTTTTGTTTCTCTCTCTTTTCCCCTTTGTTTTTTGTATAGGTTCCCATCTAGGTGCATGTAGGCAGATCT